TATATATATATATATATATATATATATGTCTTGTCAATTTTAAGACACAAGAATTGTTCCAATAAGGTAATATCATTTCATTAATGTCGAGTCAACTCAATCTCATTCAAATCATACTTTTCGTCTCCAAAAAAGGAAAATAACTTATTTCTTACTTCATTCTCAACTTCCACCGCCATTCTTTTTCTTTTGGTTACTTCATCATATATATATATTTGCACACACTTCTAAGTTTTCAACTTGATTGGACTGGTTTTGACAGTAGCTTCTTGTGTTTCAAAAGAAAATTACAAAAAAAAAAAAAAAGAAGATTTGATGTGCATATGTTCATAGAGTAAAAGAATAACTTCTATAATAAATATAAATTAAATGTTGTAAGAACCTAAACCTACTGCAGCTTGCCTCCCTTTCTGCACTTCGTGCATCTCATACCTTAGTTTCCTCGAGGATCTTATTGGCTCCCTTCTGCCACGCTGGCACGAGATCCCACGATATGATTGGCTGCTCTTCCTCCCATCCCTGAATCAGCAACGTGGAGCTGAGAAACCCTTTGCCCACTGTGTAATCACCTTCTTTCTCACAACTCCATTTTTTAACCCGTTTGACTCCCTCTCCAACGCCTCTCTTCTCCATTGAAAACACCCCACACAGAGCCGTTGTACGGATTGCTTTCATCCCATTGGCTCCTCGTTCGTACCTTTACTGCTCTTTCTTCTCCCGGTGAGACCGCTCTCATAAATGCCTTGAAAAAGCTTTCTCTCATTGCGAAAGTAAAAAAAATTGATTTTTAGGGTTTTTGTAAAAAAGGTGAATGGGTGTAAAGGATGATGTCAGATTGAGAAGAACCGGAACAATCCGTGATCCTTAATATAAAGATTTGATTTTGATGCATGACAAACGGTAATCGTAGAAAAAAACCCTAATTTTTTTAAAATGTAAACCCTAATCACGTGTGTGGAGGGAGGGGAGGCGGGGAGGGGAATGGTTTTGGTGGGGTGGAGTTTCGTTTGGAACGTGGCAGCTCCTTGAGTCTCTGATGTGTGACGTTCAGAGGGATAAAAATGGGGTTTTTTGTGAAAATGTTCGTTTCTAAATTGTAATGATTTAGAAACAGAGAAAGGAGAGAATTTTATTATTATCTGGCTGAAATGGGAAGCAGAAGAGGAAGACTAGAAAGGAGAAGCAAATGTAAACACAGAAGTACTAACTCTATCTAAGCTCTCTTTCCTCAGCTGAATCCAGAAATCAGTTTCAGTTCCGATATCTTGATCTCTACATGAAGGTTTAAAGAAGATGGAAATAAGTAAAAAAGGAGAAAAAGAAGCCTTTTTATCACAATATTGTGAAAAAAATTGCTCCTTTCACTGTTTTTTTCATTATTTCATTATTTCCTTTATTAATGAAGCACTTCTCTTTCTGATTCAGATCTTCATGATAAAGAAAACCCAAAAATATTACTAAAAATCCCTTTTTGATGAAACTTCTTCCCTAAACAAGAACGAGCCCAACATAACTAAAGGAGGAAGAAGGCAGCAAGAGACCCTTTTTATGAAACCTCTCTTCCTCAACAAACTATTGCCATGAAACGAATCAAAAAGCAGACAAAAGAAAAGACATGAGAGTAAAGCTTGCAATTTTGCTTTCTCCAACTCACGAAATCTTCACACATCTTTTTTAAGAGAGAGAAAGAGAACCTGTTGTTTGCATATTCATAGAGGCGGCCACGGGTAGAGAAGATGATTAGGGCAACCTCAGCATCACACAGAACAGAGAGCTCATAAGCCTTCTTCAGGAGGCCATTACGGCGCTTGCAAAAGGTAACTTGTCTGTTTGTTGTGTTCTCTATTCTCTTGATCTCTATCTTCCCCCTCCCCATCTTCTCCTTCGGCTCCATGCTTGAAGAGTCCATGTTTCCTTCCCAAAACAAAAATCAAATATCAGAAATCAAACCCTCAAGCTCTGTGCTTTTTCTCATCTCCCTTTCTTACCTGGCTGGGAAGAACCAAACATGATTTATTCCTCTGTTGCTCAGCTGATATGAGGTATAGTTTATGAACTTGAGAGCCACCTCTTCTTCTTAACTCAAAGAGAAGAAGGGATGACTGGTTATTAAGCCATGGCTCCACATCCAGAGATGAGAAGAGAGAGAGAGGAGCTGAAAGGGACTTGGAGAAGTAATTATTAATGGAGTTTGAAAGAGACCTGGCCTGAGCTGCACTCATACTGATATACTATGATAAAAATAAAAAAATAAAAACAAAAACAAAACCAAAAGGAAAGGGGGTAGGAGAAAGACCACCATTGTACTATATCTTCTCTTCTCACCGTTGTCTTCAGTTACTTGCCATTTTCTAGGATTTGGGCTGCTAACTCTGATACTGTTACAATTCTAGGTGTTTTGGATTAACTGACTGCTACCATTGATCTTTTTGATGGATAATTACTTGTCTTTATATGACAAGAGAATATGGCTCCCATGTGGCTACCATGCCTAATTTATTTTAAGATCATTGTGATGCACACTTTGCTCTAAGGTGCCATTTACTCCTCCCTACTTGAGGCCATGGACCCAATCTACACCCAATCTACTCTAATATTGATGTCGACATGCCGATAGATCGAGACTGATTGCATTTTGTTTCTAAGTAAATCTTTAGATAGATGGGTGACTTTTGAGCTAGAATATATGTGAATGATCATAGGATCTTTTGTACCATGCCTAGAGTTATATATTTTCACCTTTTTTTTTAACTAACGTTGTAGCATCATATTTTTATTTCTAGTTTAATTTTAGGGTACATGATTTGTTTATATATATATATATATA